AGTCGCCGACTTAGGCTGAGATATTAGCGGTATACAAGTGTATTAAATAAATAAATAAATAAATAAATAATTATAAATGAAAAATGGACTCCACAGAACTTTAAGAAAATAAGCTTATTATGCATTTTATTCTGCTTTGTTACATCACTTTTCCTTCATGCAAATGACATCATTGTTTTCTGTGCAATTGCACAGAAATTGTATTCATCTGGAACAGTGGTTCTCAACCTGTGGGTCCCCCAGGTGTTTTGGCCTACAACCCCCAGAAATCCCAGCTAATTTACTAGCTGTTTTGATTTCTGGGAATTGAAGCCCAAAACATCTGGGGACCCAAAGGTTGAGAACCACTGAGCTACAACAATTCTCAAACTCAAATGGGAGACTAGCATTGTTCCCCTCAATGTCCTGGGACTAGTATCATATTTATGACATAATACTACCATAATACTACCAAGAATCCCTTTTTCCTTTGCAAACTTGCATACCTTCCAACTTCTCACAAATGAAAATAAGGATATAAGTATTTTTGTAAGGATATGTTGAGAATGAGAGGAAAAAGGAAGAAAAAATAGCCCAACAAGAAGAATTAAGATAGAGAGAAAAAGAGAGCAAGGGTGATAGAAGGAAGGGTGAAAGTTACTTGGATAATGGAAAAAGATGTCTAGGAAATGACTAGCATAAACAGGGAAATAAAGGAAAAGTGAGAGACCCACAGCCTATGAAACTGAAGGAGATGGGGAGGAGTCCAGCCTTTCTGAGCTTTCTTGAGGGTGGGGGCTCTTTTACTACCTGAGGTCCTGGGCTGCTTGCTTGTGTTGTTGGCTTTGAGGGTTAAGCAATCAGTTGGATGATCACTCCCTGCTCTTGTGTCTCAGCCCAAACCCAGCAGGCTGGGGCAGAGAGGGAGAAAAGACTGAGTCAGCAGCGGCCTTTGAACAAATGGTGAAATCAATATGTTTGATTTGTTTTCTGAAAGCCGTTTTGGTTGTTAATGCTGATTCAGTGACAAAAGGATACTGAAAGAGAGAGCAACAATTTGCTTCCCAAGGTCTCCTTTGCCTCCAGCCAGTGCCTCTCCTTTCACTGAATCTACTTAAATAGGTTGTCTTTCTTTGTTCTCTTTGCCATTGATTGTTTCTCCTTGTTCTGAGCATCTTTAGAAAATAAAAAAGCAGGTAGTCAGCTCCTGTTACTGTTCACATTCAATTGTGCGTTGCTATCGCATACCTAGACAAACACGCATGCCTACTGCCTTCTCCTCTCTTAGCCAGTGCTTCCTTCCCATTGAACCCTGATAGAGTCAGTCTGAAAGTTGAGAGGGGAGGAGGTGAACTCATTGATATTCTACAATAGCCCAGGCTTTGAAGTAGGCTGAAGGGTTTTTGTTTTTGGCCCATATGTAGACAGTTAAATTGAATTCTTTACTGTCACCACTTACTGTGGGGTGTGAACTTGATCCACAAACCTGGGATCAGATCCTGTGATATAAGCCTTTCTGGAAGGGCCCTCTGACTCTACTGTCACTTACTCTTGTGTGTGAAACATTACTCATTGGTTAAATATACTCTGTTTCAGGAATAAACTTGTTTTCTTATAGAACAGAAGAGATTATATATCTTAGAGAGAAGTGCAAATCTATTCTCCCTAATTTTGTCTCATAATTTCACCTTTCATAATTTCACTTTAAAGAAAAAAGAAAGCCTAGAATCTAGTCTAGATGGTGATCCAACTATTCAGCAATGGATAGTATGACTAAAATTCCACCCACTGGCTGGTATGGAAATCTTAGCCCAAGAAACTCCAAAGGCTTGTAAAAAGAAGCATGCATGTGGCATTAAAGAGACACAATTTTGCAAGGAAGATACTGTAAACTAGTACATCACAGTCTGCTAACTAAATCTGATACCTATTATGTTCATGAATAAAAGGAATATATCTGAAAATAATTAAAATTATATGAACAACAGAAAAAAAATACAGGATTGAATTTCTGAAAATAAATCTGGAATCCAATCAGTGTTCAGGAAAATAGTAGGGTGTCCTTGACATTCAGCTCATTTAGAGAAAACCTCATTGTGTTGTTTAAATGGTTTTAAACAGTATTTATATCCTTTAAGACATTGTATTAAAGTGATTTTATTCATGTTTCATTTTAATCTACATTGTCAGTCTTGTGTCCCACATTGGGAGAAAGATAGAATAAAAATACAACACAACATGATCAATCTGTGAGTGGAGCTCAGACCAGAGGAACATTGACAAGTGCAGTTATTTTGACAGCCCTGTTGAATATTAGTGTCTGAGTGGGGTTACAAAACATCCTGAGAATAAATGGAGGGGGAGGGGCTATTAACAGGGTCATTTTAGTACTGCTGGTATATCTGCATTTTCACATAAGATCTGATCCCTCTTGAAGGTGTGTGAGGTTTTTCAGATACTTACTCTATCTTAAAACAATTATACACGTGGTGACTTACCTGTTTTTTAGTTTGTTCACTGTATTCCCCTGGAAGATCATGTGCACTTTTGATTAAAGTCCTTGCAATATGGAAGTAGTAAATACTAATTATGGTGAGTGGAATGAGGAGGTATATCAGAAGTATCATCACTGAATGGATCCTTGGGTGCAAATCATCCTTCAATGGATATCTTATGCATTCTGTAAAGCTGATATTGTCTGCATCATTGATGTGTGCCACTTCAGAGAATACTGCTTCAGGAACTGCTAGCAGAATTGAAATCACCCAGATGGCTATAGCTTTAATACAGGTCCACAGGACTGCATTGGGTGCTTGAATATCCATTGGATAGACAATTGCCTTGTACCTAAAAGTGAATAAGGAAAGATTAATGTTATCTTTTGAAGAAGACAATCTTTTATTGAAAAGATATAGCTAGAATCATTCCAGGAAGGGGAAGGAAGACAGAAAATATAACAAGAAGCAGGTATAAGTTCATATACTTCTATTCAAAAAAGGCTGTAAAATAAAAATATCTGCAAGTCATCACATCACAGGCAACACATTTCAAATACAGTAACTTTTTGGTGCTGCAGATATTATTATAGAAACCTAATTCTATTTGCTTACTTGAAAATAACACAGTGGGGCTTTCTACTGGGCAGATATATGCAGAAGTGTGCTGCGAATCATTTAAAATTAAACACAGATGTTAAAAGCTGTGTTTTTCCCCCTACTATTGGTTGTGGTAGTGCTGCTGGCATTAACTTACATTACCTTTATAAAATGGAGCCATCTCTAGAAATCCTGCATGAAAATGTACTGCATAAAGGACTAACCCCAGTTTATCTGTAAAGTGGTCCCTACGGACATCAATTTCTGTTCCGTTGAAGAGATATGGCCCACACACACTTTCTTTCTGCTCCATTCTGGCAAGGATAATGAAAACAATTTGTCTTCAGACTTCAAGGGTCAAGTGATTTCAAGCTTCTTACAAACAACCGTGATTAATGATGTCCAGAAATGTGAAGCTAGAGATTTGCTCCTTTTATTAAACACCAGTTAACCAATAAGGATGTTGATTAGATTAAGAAATCCCCTTAGTAAATCTAAATCCCCTAGTAAATCTAGACAGCTCATTGCTGAGCACTGTGGAAGAGAGAAAAACACAGGCTCCCATGTCTCATATGCTCCAGGGAGAGATGTTCAGCTGTCATAAATCCAAGACAGCCGACATTTGTGCAGCTGGGTATGGAATGGATGCAGCTCCTAAGACTAAGGCCCAGATTAATGTGGTTCTTAAGTAATCTAATTTTAATGAGTCTGGATTATAGATGATTAGCTTATTTGCGGCTGGAAACCCCGTCAGAATACTGCATACTGTGGTTTGGAAAATTGAAATCTGGATAAAGCTCACTGCCTTTATGAAACCAGGACACCTCTGAACATGTCTGGTGCCTCAAAAGATAACAGAACCAAAGTTTGATTGTCACCAATATTTGTGCTGGCACTGGAATTTAAGAAAGACATTATGAGGAAACAAATAGAGGGCTTGATTTAGGATTTGTTTTTGTGGAAATGTCTAGATCAGTGGTTTTCAACCTGTGGGTCCCCAGATGTTTTGGCCTTCAACTCCCAGAAATCCTAATAGCTGGTAAACTGGCTGGGATTTCTGGGAGTTGTAGGCCAAAACACCTGGGGACCCACAGGTTGAGAACCACAGCTCTAGAAAATGCCTAGGGAAGACATATTTTGTCAGATATGGATAAATGAAATCAGAATTACTAGTCCTTGTGATTTCACAAGGGATTGTGAAAGGGATTAAAGGGATTATTGTAAATGAAGGTTAAATGTTCATTGACACGTTCACTTTTAAATCCAAAGGCAAATTGTATGATGGCTTCTCTAACTGCTGTGCTTTATGGTTTGTCAGTTTTGTAAGACCATTAAATTAAATTAAATTGCTTGACAAGTAGGATAACACCCTAATTCCAGTACCTATTCTTTTTTAAAAAAAAAAAACCTTTATACTTTCTTGACAAATAACATATTTATGATGTGTGCAATTTTCTCCACAAAATACTGATGAAGGAAGCAGAAGTGAAATTCATTAAAATTTCACTTCTCTAAATTTAAGACTGGTTTCCAAAATTTGTTGCACTTAGCTCTCCAACGTGTTACAAAATCAGGGGAAAAAATCTAGGGCCATTCTGTGCCTTTTTCTTTTTAAAAGCAATGATCCATCAAGGATCTTAGAAGAACAAGTAGATCTTTTTGTAGGTACTGTCCAAATGCAAAGGCTGCTTTTTTTTTAGGAAACTACCTTTACCTATTCATCTAAAATGTAGTAAATAACATGGGCGCCTTAAAATTAAATGGCTGACAGCTCTGTGTGTGTGTCTGTGTGTATATACACATATGCAGAGAGATGTAGCATAAAGATTTTCTACACTTATTTATCAATGACTTGGCATGAAATAATGTACTTAGCATTTTCATCCATTTGTATCAAAAAGGAAAAATAGTCATTTAAAAATTTTGGTAATAGTCAATGAGAGGCAAAATCTTGGATTTCTAAATTTCCACTCTGGTTGAAATTCCACTCAAGGCAAAGTATGAGACAGGCTCTGATTTCAGTGAAGCCATCAAAGTAGTCAATTTTCTAACAAAGGCAGCTAAATTAAGATTCAAACCAAATCTTATGTTTTATTCACATCTATACTATATAGCAAGTGTTTAAATACAAATGATAATATGTATTGCTTTAAACGGAGACTGCAAATGTCATATAGGAGCCACAGTGGCGCAGCAGGTTAAACCACTAAGTTGCAGAACTTAATAACTTTATAATAACTTTATTTTATACTCCGCCTCCATCTCCCTGAAGGGACTCAGGATGGCTTACATGGGGACAAATCCGATCAACATAGTTAAAAGATAACATATTAAAATATTCAACAACAGCATAAAACAAAATAAAACAACATTATAAAACATAAAAGCAAACATCGAACCAACCAATGAACAAGAATAATTAGTTTGCTGAACTAATCAGAACTTGCCGACCGGAAAGTCAGTAGTTCAAATCCGTGGGATGGGGTGAGCTCCTGTTGCAAACCCCAGCTTCTGCCAGCCTAGCAGATGGAAAACATGCAAATGTGAGTAGATGAGTAGATACCGCTTCGGTGGGAAGGTAATGGCGCTCCATGCAGTCATGCCAGCCACATGACTTAGGAGGTATCTACAGACAATGCCAGCTCTTTGGATTAGAAATGGAGATGAACACTATCCCCGAGAGTCAGGCTTAATGTCAAGAGGAAACCTTTACCTTTACCTTACAAATGACATTCATGACCATGGAAATACTGTAGAATGCAACTGAACAGAATTAGAATTCCCAGAAACATGTTTTAAACAAGTGTCAGATCTCTCTCACATAGTGATTTTTCAGAATCAAGAAGTTATTTTTCTTCAAGAACATCTGAATTCAAGTGCACTTAGTAACTGCACTTGGATTCAATTAAATTGTTAGTTAATATGCATCTCATGGGCATATATTTCTTTGTTTAAGAAAATGTATGGCACATTTCATCCATGCTGAATGTTCAACAATTGGTATGTGCAATAGCAAACAAATCAATAGATGGTTTATAGATAAGTTTTTTTTATAGAAAACACTTCTGGTTCCAAGCATTTTGGGTAAGGAATACTCAACCTATACAAAGCACAAATGCTATAACCAGCTTTAGTAAAATGTGGGTGTGTATATAAAACCTACATACATATAACATGGCTTTCATGAGAGTTTATTAAAATAAATGAGAGTTTATTTTAATCATTCCATTTCAATGTTCTCAGTCCTTAATGAATTCATCCCAGTGGCCTATTCCGCAAAAAATGGTATTCCGCAAAAAAGTGAAGACCTGGTTGTTTGAGCAGGCATTCGAATAGTTAGTGCAATGAGTGTAATGAACATAGGAATGGAACAATGGATGATGGATCTGGATCATGTTTTCAGTGATGAGACGTTAGTGAATGGCTATTGTTGTTAATTGTATAGGACTGTATAAGGTGTTTTGATGTTACTGTTTTTTACCGTGTTACTGTAGTATCGTATTTTTGCTGTTCTGTTGTTAACCGCTGTGCTTGTTCTCAGCCTAAGGGCTGAGAACAGCGGTATACAAATAAAGTAAATAAATAATAATAAATAAATGAATAAATAAATATTATACAAATGAAACCGTTGTTTATGCTCCTGAAAACAGTCCATGGAGAAAGTCTGCATTAATGTGAAATTAACCAACTAATCTACATACAATATTGCAACACATGAGTAACTCATCAGTAGTTCCCTACAACTGCTTGGAGGGACCACCACATTACAAGCACACCATATTTCTGGCCTGTTACATGTGTCAGATTGCTTCTTGGAATGTCAGGAAGCTAATAAGATTTTTTCACCTATAGCTGAAACATTTCAGGCAGGGAAATGGAGACTATTTCATTGTTATCAAGTGGTATCCTGTGTTAGCCCTTCTCCAAATATTAAACAAAATCTCAATTTCATATAGTTGACTGTGTTCAGAAGCATTTCCGATTGCACAGAAATGAATCAAGAAGCTGCCTCTTGAGGCAGGTCTGCTCAGATAAGCAAGATCAATGTTTATCTCCCAGAGACACAATTACAAGTGAAGAAGGTCAAATCCACATATCATTTTTTTCTCCCACATAAATGATTGAAAGCAGAGGGCAGTGTGGTGATGGTTTCTTAACCATTTATCCTCATAATACCTTTATTTCATGGTACTATGCTCCCTATTTCCTCCTTCTACTTTAAATATCCAGCAGCAGATGCCAAGATTAAAGAAAAGCTGTGAAAGTCTTCATGTTATATTGCAAAATGCTGCTAACTCAGTCCAGAGTGGTAAACAAGTTTGTTGTCAAACATTTTCCTTAGTTAACAGACTAGATCCATTGCTGGTATTAAGGGGGGGGCAGAAATGCCCTTGTAATTTCATCTTTCAAGAGAAGAGAACTACCTAATTCTTGATCTACATACAAAAATATCTTAAAATCCTATTCGCAATACTACCTGTCAATGTAGTGATACACATTAGTTCGGACAGAGATGAATAGAGAGAGATCTGAAATGTAATATGTTTTAGAAGATGTAATATGTTTTTGGAAAAGTGCAAAAAAAGTGCGAAATTCAGACATAGTTTATCAGAAATCTTGACAGTAAACTCAAAGAAGTCTTTCCAAAATAATACTTGTTTTCATATTATCAATTTGCCTCATAAATTGGATTTTACAGGGCTTCACACAACATTTTCCACTCATCATTCTCCCTTATTTTCCACTGCTACT